AATGAAGACTGCTATGTTGTTCAGAGTTGGAGAGTGTCATTTTTTTAATATGTTCGTATTACTGATTTTACTTCTTTTTTTTTCCGTTGTGTTTTCTTACTGTAGTTTCTCCCCATGATTACTGTTTAGTGTTCTGTTTGTTTAATTATTGTGATATTCAGCATTACTTTAATTATATACATAAACACACACATACACTTAGCCTTTAGCTGGCTAATACTTGTCATTAGCTAAAATCTGGTTTTTGCCTCAGAAATATGAGTAGCCAAAATGCAATACTCAGTGCTAGATAAGTCCATCCAGAACTGACATCTTTCCCTGTACTTAGAATATTCTAATTCTTAGATTTCATGCAAGCCTTGCATAAAAATCAATCATCTTCTGCATTATATTATAACCATGAATGTATTTTGAACAATCCACCTCAAATGTAATAATTGTCATTACAGAATTTCTTGACAAAACCTTCTGTATGCATAGATCAAAAATTTGAAGATCCTTTACTGGCATGCTTTCAGTTAGTTTTGTCTAAAAGAATAACAAACTGTTCTGTTACTATAGAAACTCATTAAAAGCTAATTGTGGATGTGTTGCCTGCTGTAGCTAGTAAAGAATGATACAAACCTTTTTTGGAAATTTTGTTTCCAAGAGATGTTTCATTTTATCCAAGTAGTTACACCTAGTAAAGCTAGGAACAAAATATTTACTTGTAAATTGATATTCTTGTCAATCACCAGTCCACACAAGTTTTCTCAACTTAAAAGTGTAGTCTACAGTATGCTTCAGGAAGACTGACAGTGGCTGCAAAATTATTATAGAACTAAACTAAGATTAGACTAATCTAACACAAACAAGCAAAATTCATGTCTCCTGTTTGGCACATAAATGACAAAATTGAATCACTGAACACAATTAATGACCATAATTAGTTACTGCAACAATTGTTAGCTAAAGTCTAGCAAACGTATGTTAAATTACATGTATAAATATGAGGTTCGATAAACAACTGTTAGAAATAATGAGGTATTTGTTCATGTACTCACTGTTTTATTCTGAACTCCTACATATTGTTCTCTCAGGAAATCTGGCACAACAGGACACGTGAAGTTCAATGTGTGTTTTGTTGACCAGGTTTTGAGCAGTTTTTGATCATCTACCTTTTATAAGAAAATAAACCTGAAATTACTAAAAGGTCACATAACATGTATAAAGCCAAATTAGGTTTATGTTATATGTGTCATAATATAGCTTTATTTGCAAAGAAAAAATAATAAATACCATGTACCACTCTAATGTACAAAAACCACGTAAACTTAAGGACTGATTGATTTTCCCTTATGCTGAACTTAGTTTTTATATTAAACAGGACAATTTTTTACATTTTGTAAAAAAAAATCCCCTTAATTACTTAATTACCTTAGTCTAAGGTTCAATTTAACCTTAAAATGTATTCCTGTGATGATTGACAAGCTGATAATATAACACCTAAGTTCATATTTCATTAATGTTAATTATTCCTAGGAATCCACTTAGCAAATACTAAACTAAATACATGAATATGAGAAAATGTCAGAAGTAATCACTTTTTTAGGGTGATTTAATCTAAATAATAAACAATAAACTATCTAAGTATTTCTCTGCCATAGCCTAGATAAAATGGCTATTATATTATACAATAATGTGCAAAAATAAGGCCTAAATTATCTTAAAGTCCTTATCTCTACTATTGCCAATGGCAACTCATTCCAGTCAATCCTCCTATTAGAAAAACAAAACTGTCTTCAACTGAAGCTTAGCCTGTTTTTTTCTAAATCTTAAACAAATGTCCTCTCAGACAAAGCTGTCTTAACTGGTGCCCAGCCCATATTTTCTAAACCTTAAACTTGTGTCCTTTCAGGTAAGACTGTCTTAGTTTGAAGCTAGCCTGTCTTTCACAAATCTTAGATTTGTAATATCTCACGTAAAACTGTATTAACTGGAGTAAAGCCTGTTTTTATAAATCTGAAACTTGAGTCCTCTCAACACAAAAAAAGACAGAGGCCTTTATCTTATTCATCTCCTGAGTAACACTATAAACTGCACAAAAATTACCTCTTACTCATATTTTCTCAAGAGAAAGGAACTTAAGAGATCTTAAATAATTCTCATAAGAATATTCCATCCCCAGAACAATCAAACTGAACCTCCTAGAAACCTTTTACTAATAAGTAAATATTCCAAGTGATTCCTTCTGATTTGTAATAAAAGATAATTGCCTCTTTTGATTTGTAATCAATGTGTATATAAATACATCCAAAAATTATATTACTTTTGCTACTAACAATAAAGCACTACTTATATGGTTTGAGTGACTTATCTAACATTATGTTAAAATCATTATCTTCAGTCACACAGTTGAGTTGGTTCCCATCTATCATAAAAGTACAAACAAAATAATAACCCAAATGTGCTATCTTGCATTTAATATAATTACAGGTCTTTTGCCAAGTATTTATACAAATTATTAAACAATCCAAGTCACTTTGTAAAAATAGCCAAGAGTTTAATCCCACCATCAAACTTTACTAATTGCGTCCCTATCAATATCATTAATGTAAATATGAAAATGCAAAGGCCTAAGCACTGACCTCTGAACCACAATAATAGCAACACAGACCCAATTTGACTAGACTTTATTAATAACAGCTTTTTGCTTTATTTAACCCAGCCACCACAATCCAATTCCATTGTCTTTCCCCAACTCCCACTACTGTGGCTTTATTAGCTAATACTCTGTGCAGCACCTTAGCAAAGTATTTTGAAAATCTAACTACACAAATACACACCCTTTTCATTCCAACAAAAGTTGGAGTGAAGTGAAAAAAACACAAGAAATTTTCAAAACTTGTATCCATATGAACTTGTTGTTTCCTAATAGTAATACTAATAGTGGATCTAAACTATACCATTTATTTACTTGTGTATACGTGGTTAAGGCTTAAGCATTACTTCAAATGTACTTAACAAATTCTGGTCACACTGATGTATTAACCCATTTTTTCAACTCGGCACTGCTGCCGCGTTATTAACTTTCTCAATAATCATAACCCTTTAAAAGTTTAAAAGTACACTAACAACTTCTTATCAATGACATTCCACATTTCAACTTAATCCTGTTCCTTTAATTTATTTAGTACAATTACAAGTACTAGTAGCAATACTTGTAGGTCCATATTTTATTTTTAAACTTTTAAGAACTAACTGCAATGTGCAAACCATCTTGCAAGTTATAAGAGCTGTATTCTACATCATGAGCTTCAAATACAATTTCGAGTTAACTTTAACTTTCAAGATAAAAACATTTAATTTTAACTTGCTCAAGTAAATCCTAAACGGCTACAGAACACAAAATTGATCAGCCTTTAAGACCAAGCCAATCCTTCACATCTTCCACATTTAAGTTCCGACGTGAAAATTATAATTCAGGAAGTACGATAAACAACAACGCCAACATCAGCTTGGTGTGTTTAAGCTTTAGCTATGGCTTGAAATATGTCAGTTTAAAGTTTAAACCCTACTTCAACTTTCGAATGATTCTAGTTTTATTTTGTAATTAGCTAACATTACGTATACTTTAACAACCTACCTTAAAAATACCAACACAATTATTTCCTGTCGTAATTATTGCCTTATCATATTCAAAGTCTGATTGAGTGTTCACAAAAGAAGCATTAAACGTAACATTTGGTTTTGCGCACAAAACTGTTGCGGACACGGCTGTCGCCATATTTAATTAATACATAAAAACGCCGATAGGAAAATAATTTTTTTATTCTTGTGTGGTACTTAGATTCACTAATGTCACAAAAGTAGGTGTCAAGATCCGAATTAAACAACTGATTCAGGAAATGTTCTGCAAAGAACAAATAAAAAACGGACAGCTAATGAAAAAAAACAACAACAAGAAACAATCAAGTGCACGTGCAAAACACAGAATAATAACAATCTTTACTTAACAGTGAAAACACTGGAGTCTTACTTTATGGTACTAACTGGCTTTAATATCTTTGTACAAAACTGTGTAGGAAATTACGCATAGTGGTTGTTGAAAAAGATAAAAAGAAGAATATTATAGGTCAAACCACTAAGGAGTTAATATATATAATTGTGGATACAACGTTTCCGGCAATGCCCTTCTTCGGGTATCACTAACTGAACAGTAAATCAGTAAACGAAAACATTCTGAATGGAAGGTCGCGTGACGTGACAATGTAACAAATATACGTGTATAACAATGCTTACAAACAATTGAAACAAAAGAAAGTGATAACTATGTATATATATATACAAGCGCGTGCACACACATGTCTATACATACATATATATATACACAGATACACCCAAATATATGCACACAAATTATTATACAAATACATATACACACACACACATACAAACACATGCGCGCGCGCGCACATACATATATCAGTATATATGCATTATAGTTTAAAAAAAGAATAGATACATAATTTACTGTATAAAACTTTTTAAGAAAGGATAAAACTCAAACGAGAAATATTACAGAAAGCTGAAGCGTTCATTTAACCCATCGGGGTGGAAAGTTCCCAGGTCAAAAATTAATTTATTTTCTTGTACTTCGCGGTTATGTTTGTTTGTAGGGGCTTTCTTCAAAACAAGAATTTTGAAATGGCCAAGGGTATGGATGTGTAAATTGAAGTGTCGGGCCACTGATTTATCCGCTTATCTTGAACTAACCGATATAAGTACCGCAAAACAAGTGCATATTACAGAAAAAACCTTAACTCTACCTATTAGTCTACTCTCTATGACAAAAAGACAAAAACTCGTGAATCTCGGAATCGTGTATCCAAACAATTTGCAGCCACCATTGATAGAAGATAACATGTTAAATAATTCCAAGTGTTGCGTCAGCAGTCACATGACCGCCGTGACGCAACGTTTCTAGAACTATCATGTACTTTGTCGAATGTTCAAGTTCTTACTAGAAATAGGTTACGCTGGTATATAAAAGAAGGAAGATGTAATGTGTGAGTAGATAGTGAGTAATTGAACTGCAGTCACACGGTATTGTTGAAGTTAACGTTCGTTCGTTACAGTGTTGTTTTAGCGCGAGTATTGAGATTAAGTGTATCGCAGAGTTATGTTCGGAAAGAATAAACCAGTTTTATTAAGTAAAGACTTGTGTCGTTAAAGTTTCGTTGGAACGAAGTTACGAAAAAAAATCAATTAAAAAACGGAGACGTAACAAAATGTTTTGTAGAATTTCTAAATGAAGACACGTTTTATGTTTTGTTGACAGAGATTTATTATAT